AAACCAGAGCTCCTAAAACGAAACCCACTGGGAGAACATGCAAACTGCAAACAATCTTTCCATTTCCAGGTTTGAACCCAGGATAGAGCAAGCCAATGAGCCACTGTGCCCTGAATGTCTTTTATCAAAGGAAACTTGAGGATGGTCACATGACACGAGACATTTTAGAGCGTGTGCATTCATTATCTCACCTGCAGCTTTCTACTAAAGCTTTGGCCTCATCTAATCGCGAGTCAGGCAGGAGCGCTGTTCGGCAGTCGGTGATGTTGAAGAAATGTTTTAGTCTCCCCATGAACGTAGACTGATCCCATCGAGGTGCGTCGATGTCAAACGAGCTCAGAGCCATTGCGTCTGTTAAAATCCAGGTGCAGATTAATGCATCAAAAAGCCTCGCAGCTTGTGTTCGTGCGGGACGTCACTCAGCAGCTGCAGTCAGATCCTGAGGAAAAGAGGAAGAAAGACATTATTACAGGACAATCAAAGAGTTGGTGAATAGTTAATGCATGCTCTTGTCCTCCTTTGAGCTGATATAACATTAACAGATTTTTGTTTTTTTAGCTCAGCGGCTCAGAGACACTAGTTTTCTTTACCTTTGAACTCAACGTCCCACATGCAAAGGTGTATGTTTATAAAGCTGAGACACAACACAAAACTTATTTGGATAATTAACATCCAAACAGTCTCTTCGGTTTCCCTAATCTAAGAATTTCATAACACTCCCTTGGGTTTGAAAATAGATGTATCCATAACAAATCTGAAAAGCTGTGAGCTTTACTTTAGTTTCTAGTACCAGTCCAACGCTTCATTCCATTGTGGTTCTGGATGTAAGGAGTCCATGCGAACACGTAATCACCCTTTTAGCCTTTCTGCTTCCATAATGAAGGATTGACTGGACTCATGGGGTCACTTAATTAAATTTGCGAGAGCTTTGACAGTGATGTCAGTGTCTAGAGCACCAAACCTACAACAGCAGAGTGAACCCAGACAGCTGTTTGTTATATCAGCGTACATGCTGAATTTGATGCTCATGACGGTGATGTTTAAGAGAAGAAAACTGAGCAAATGTGCAAGATACAAAAACAGCTATTTTAATATTATTGATTGATTCATTAATAAGTTTTACAAGCCATCATTTCTTACAACAAATGAAGCAGATCACACATCCGGAGTTAATTCAAAGCCTTGAGTTTGTATTTGATAGCTTTTAACTGTAATTTTAAATATAAGGTCCAAAGGAATGCAAGTGCAAGTGAGAGAGACTTTCATTAGACTAAAAGAAATAAATAAATAAATAAACCCATCCAAGAGACAGCAAAAACTTCAGGAGTGGCCAAATCAAGAATCTGGTATATTTATAAGAAGGAATGAGACGGCCAGCTCAGCAACACCAAAAGGCCTAAAGACGTCAAAGTCTACCTAGATCACCTTGAAGGTGCAAGCCACTGGTTACACTGGTCTAGAAGTCCAGAATAGACTGTGCCAGAAAGCATCTAAAAGAGCCTGCATAGTTATGAAAAAAAAATTAAAAAACTGAAAATACTAATCAAGGTAGACGAGAATGATGGGAAGAGAAAAGTATGAAGAAGAAGAGAAACGGCTCATGATCTGAAGTGTAAATGGTGGAAGCGATGTTATGGCATGGACATGTATGGCTACCAGTGCAACCGGGTCACTGGTGTTTATTGATGACGTGACTGCTGATAAAAGTAGCAGGATGAACTCTGAAGCATGCATTACTCTCTGCTCAGATTCAGCCAAACTATTGGAACGGGCTTGCAAATAGATAATCACCCAAAGAACTGCAACAACATTCCTTTGCCTTGAGTTTCTCAAAGCAAAGAAATGAGATATCCTTTAACAGCTTTACCAGAGCAGGCTTTTCATTTATTAAACCAGAAAGGTACAAAGACCCAGAAAAGATCCTTGACTTCAAGCTGAAAGTCTGCACTTCAGTCACAGCTAAACTACTAAAATTGTATCTTTATCCAACAAATTACTGACCTGACAGTATAAAATGCTTTAAGTGCAAAGAATAAAACCTGTGATATAAATGTGGTTTGTATTGTACAAAGGGATTTCAGAGCTCAGCAACTTGCCTTCCTCATAAAATTATGGTGGTTATAGCCACAAAAGTAACATATTTAAATACTTTGCTCCACATCTCCTAGAGGAAACGGTGCCCATGTTGGCATTAAACACTGGTAAACATACTAACTTTCGTCTGTTCAGCATCATTCCTCCAACCCCTGCTGCGATATCGTTGCTCTGACTATCCTGTAGCTTTGTAGCTCAGGCTCTCTAAAGTTAGGCTGTTGGAAACATCTGCTCTTGGGTTTAAACCAAACACAAACTGCCTAAAAACCCTCAAAGCCCAAACGTCTACTAGAAATCATCAACCACCTCCTGTTAATGGGTCCTCGGGTAGTGATTTTGAGTTTTTTGCAACTGCACCATTGTGCTTGCTTTGAAGCAACCGGGGGATCCAAAACGTGCTGACTACAGCTCAGCCTATCCAAATGTCCCACAGTTCATCTCCATTAGGCACTTACTGTAAGTTTTAGGTAAGTTTTGAAACAGGTGAAATGTAAGGGCGAGGAGAAGAGGATATCAGCGGTCTCTGAAGGTTCAGCCTGGTTGGAACTGGATTATTTCTGAAGCTGTTTGTTTACAAAATAGGTCAAAGGTCTGTGGAACATGGTCGAGAATAAGTCAACGTAGGTCCTATTACCAGGACATATAAATAATAATATTAAAGAACATATGTAGGACTGCATCTGAAAAAAATTATTACACCTTCATAACTCTTTATTTTGTTTGATTAAAGATTCAGTTTACAGTTAATTTAAAACAGAGAGAACAACAAATCTTCACATTTAAAAGCTAAAACTAGAAAAGACTGACCTTTTTTTCATGACAAATTATTAAACACTTAAAAAAAGGTGATGAGGACAAAAAGCCTTAGCAGCAGAGCACGTATCCCGAAAATCTTGATGTAGTGCTTTAACTACATTTTTAAACAACTTATCAAGCCTTTATCAAATATTTCCACCTGGACCAAACCAAATAATGAAACTGTCACCTGTAGTGAAGGTCAGCAGGGTGCTAATCAATTTGGCCACGGTCACGAAGAACATGATTGATTTGTTCATTGATAAATCAATAGGGAGGCTGACTGATTATATTGTGAATAATAATAATGGATTGCATTTATATAGCGCTTTTCAGGGCCCTCAAAGCGCTGTACAATTCCACTATTCATTCACTCTCACATTCACACACTGGTGGAGGCAAGCTACAGTTGTAGCCACAGACTGACAGAAGCAAGGCTGCCATATCGCGCCATTGGCCCCTCTGGCCATCACCAGTAGGCGGTAGGTGAAGTGTCTTGCCCAAGGACACAACGACCGAGACTGTCCGAGCCGGGGCTCGAACCGGCAACCTTCCAACCTGCCAACTCTTTGAGCCACGAATAAGACACAACATTGCAAGAAGACCTAAATGTTTGCTGCAGGGCAACAGCACAGCACAGATCCCATAAATTATTGATAAGAGGAGCAGTTACTTGGGTAAAACTGCAAGTATTGCACTTTAGTAATGCTCAATTACAAGTTCAACTCCCATAGATAAATCACTAAAAGTACTAAACGAAGCTAAATAATCCCTGACAGATATGATTATGTAATAAAATGATAATAAGCAATGTTTTGCTGTAAAGCAACATTTCACTGCTGTAGCTGGCTAAGACGAGGCTTGGTTAAAGTGGACCAACTATTGAAACAAATGAAATATTCACATATAAGGGGCTGGAACTGTATGGGTTTTTTTTTGTTGTTGTTTTGTTTGTATATTTTGAATGAAAAATCAGTGATTATTAGTGAAGTAGTAGAGTCAACTGATCGATCAACCAATGATTACTATTTCTTCATCCATATGGTGGAGTAAACGAAATAAGAGATGTAACGTGCAGAGTACTGCAGTACAGGTAGTTACTACTGCTGACTAGCAGAAGGTTGCCAAACTGGATCTGTAGGCCAGAGCCCTCGTAACATCTGGATAAGTAGTAGCACGTGGCTGCTAATGGTTGAAATGTTAAATTACTTACATGCAGTTTGTGGAGAAGAGAAATGTGTGGAGACCTGTGTGAAGACAACCGACCAGAGTGCTGTGAAAAGAGTGAAAACATGTCAGTTGGGGCTCACTGACTGATGCAACTCAGTCCTCGCGTTACCAGCTGGGTCTGACGGGGGGGGGGGACCCCCAGCAAAGCACGAGCCAAAACACCGACACACCGGCTGCTAACACCGCCCTTTGAAACCGAAAATATACCTGTGTATACACCTCCAACGGACCAGCAGAGCACGAACCTGCCAGGTGGTCAGCTCAACTCCCGTGCAGGCACAGTAAAAGAAAAAAAAAAAATGCGCACGTGGCAGGTTGTCCTCCAATCAAAGGCTGGAGCAGATAGGGCAGATCCTTGCGTTTAAACCGGTGGAAACCGAACCTGATATTTGGCTGAAGACTAAAATTAAATCAGAAACTGGGGGCGGTTCCAGATGTTGAATCAACCCCCTCCAGTTTACAGCTACTGTTAGTAGCTAGCTAATTACTTCGGTGACATTATATCCGGTTTGTTATGGTAAAAAGTAGTAAAAATGTATGTCCGTTGACTTATTTTAACATTATGGACAAGAAGAGTGCACAAAATGAGATTTCAAAGTGTACTGTCTAAAGACAATTAAACATTTAGCAGGTAGCTAACTAAACTCGTCCACCTTAGGTTTGGGTTTAGCGATGCCTTCATGGTACTTTGTTTAAAACAAAATGTAAATAAGGAACACCCGTTTACCCTGGTCTGCTGCGATAATGACCACTTAGTCACGAGCCGCTACAAGAATGAATAACACAGGGAAATAAATGTTAATGAACAGAATGTATACACTTCGATTACAAAAGAAAAGCATATCCCATCAAAACAGTATCAGAGTCGGCATTTTTTATTTTACCCATTTAAAAAAATGTTTCATGAATGCAACACGACGCGGAATCTGTGCGTATCTCTGCGTCTGACGTCACTCCCCTTAGTAACCCTCGGCGGCGTCTCCAGGAGAGAAGGCAACAAGATGGTGAGTTTTAATTTATCGCAAACATTAGCGCATAACCTAACACAAACTTCCTCGAGTGCTCATACTTTTACACCTTATCGTCCATTTTTAGTTATATCAATTGTAATAAATTCCGTCACCACCAGGTTGACAAAGAAAAAAAATCGACTGCCTTGTTGCTTCGTTCAGTTATCAGGGGAGATTAGCTTAGCACGTTAGCTGTGTTTAGCTCCCATTTGCGTGCCGTTATCTAGCCCTGCCTGGGAAACAAATTAGCCGTAAGGATCAAGAAAGTCAAAGCACAAGATCTGACTTGCTGCTCAGAGGATCTGTTACCGTTAGACGAGTGCTTGTACATCATCAAAATCCATAGAGGGTGCTAGAAATGGCCTGTTGGTGGATGGAAAGAAGAGATGTGTTTTTGCAATGGTGGTTAGCTGCAGCAGTGCTCCCCCTGTCCCCCCGGAACAGTAACACCACGCTGCTGTTTTTAACTGCTTGTTGTAGGGATTGCTGTCCATCCTGCGCAAGCTAAAGAGCACACCAGACCAGGAGGTGAGGATACTGCTGCTGGGTCTGGACAACGGTGGGAAGACCACACTCCTTAAACAGTTGGCATCTGAGGACATCAGCCACATCACGCCCACGCAGGTAAGATACAAAGGATGTTTGTATACAAAGCGTAGTCGTGGAACTTTCATGCGTTTCACCTCCTCTTACCGTACTTATTTTATCTTCTTCCTGCAGGGATTCAACATTAAGAGCGTGCAGTCTCAGGGGTTTAAACTAAATGTCTGGGACATTGGAGGCCAGAGGAAGATCAGGCCGTACTGGAGGAACTACTTTGAAAACACAGATGTTCTGGTGAGGAGATGATGCACCAAATGAAGCAATATGACCTTAATTTCAGTAACATGCAACTCTTTCACACACTAACAAAGAAAACTTTTTGTTTCAGATTTATGTCATTGACAGCGCTGACAGAAAGAGGTTTGAGGAAACGGGTCAGGTATGTAACTGTGTATAAGGGTTTGGGCTCCTCACCAAAGAAGTTTCAGTTTCCTACCAAATGAACTTTGATTAAAAAAAAAGAAGAATGGGACTATATATAGTTATAAGTGAATTATAAGTAATTAGGGTTATTCCATTTCAGATCTTTGTAGGTCTTCTGCTCAACCTTGTACCATTCTTCGTTTCTGGATGGTTCTCTAATTATGACTGAAAAAAATAGTTAAATATATGCATATTTAAAAATTTTGAACCTTCCTTTACCTACCGTTTTGAGAAGTACTGCCCTGGAGGAGTCTTATAATTCAACTTTAATTTTTAATGTACTAAGAAGTGTTAAAAATGTCAAAAAGGATTCTACATGCTTTATTTTACAGTATTGTGAAACTCAACTCTATACCAGTAAATGTCACTAGTTGTCTTTCACATGTTTTTACTGGTGTGTGTTCAAATATGGGACTTTACACAACTGTTTGAATTTTGTTTTTAATATTTTAATTACCCAGTGCTCAGACATTTTTTTAATGTATCTGTCCCAGATTATACATACTGGTTCATTTTATGGCAATAAAGCCAATTATTTTATTTATTTTTTATTAAACAGCTGATTATTTCCCCCAAATCATTTGTAAATGATACCAAACCAATCCTAAAACTTTTAAATTAATAAGCAAGAAATACATTTTATTTATAGTTTTTTAATAATTACAGAAGCTGAGGATATAGTGTTTAAGGTGTTAGGCTATATAATATATATTTTATGTTAGAAATAGAGAAAACATGGATAATTCCATGTTTTGCTTCTGACTTTAAATGTGGCTAATGCGTTCACCTTACACATGAAAAATACCTGGTTTGATTCCGGGAGGAGACCCAAACCAGCCTCAGGATGTACAAGCTAGTGCAAGCCCCAACCCCGGATAAATTGAAAGGTTGTGTCAGGAAGGCCATAAAACATAAAATCATAAAATCTGACCCAAATCAAATATCCAATATATCCATGTGGCAAACTCCTGGGAAATAAAGTAGCAGCTTAAAGGTCTTCTTCTTCTTAAGGATCTGAACCCTAGAGCTGTTTTACATTACAGTACAGTTGAAGTCCCTTCTGGTTGTGTAAGTGTGTGTCTGTCATGTTGTGTAGCTGACAGATGTGTGTGTCTGTGTGTGCGCTGCAGGAGCTGGCTGAGCTGCTGGATGAGGAGAAGCTGAGCGGTGTTCCTGTGCTGATCTTTGCAAACAAACAGGACCTCCTGACCGCCGCCCCAGCCTCCGAGATCGCAGAGGGTCTCAATCTGCACACCATCCGGGATCGCATGTGGCAGATCCAGTCCTGCTCCGCCCTCACTGGCGAGGGGATTCAGGTGAGCAGATGAACTGTGCTTCACCTTTGTTGCATTTAAAAATTATACATATATCTATATTTTCCTTCTCACCCCACTGCTTCCCCTAAATTTAATACAGGAGGGCATGAACTGGGTCTGCAAGAGCGTCAACTCTAAGAAAAAATAGCTTTGCTTGTAGTCTTCTACTAATCAGGAGGACCAGCAGCAGCAACAGCAGCAGCACACACGCATACACTGACACACATTGCACCCTCCTGAGCCTTAGTACAAGGGATATACCTGTGAATGTACACACACTACTAATCCAACATGGACTTGGAGTTTTTAACCCCTTTGCATTCCCGCATCGCTGATGTTTACTAATCTCAGCACATCTTTCTGTGCTGGCCTCTACAACGAGGAGGGGCATTTGCCTTCAAAAGGGAACCCAAACCAGCATATCGACCCCTTCCACCCCTCCGCCGTCCACCCACGTCACCATCTCTGTCCAACCGCAGCCACCCATGCGCAGCCTGTCACAGCCTCAAACATTCCCATTAAACTGCTGTCTTTCACTGGAATTCCAACATGTTCTTTAAGCTCTTTCACACGCTGTCCTGGAAACCACCCCCCTCCCTCCATCTCACCCCTATGTCGTGACAGTTTTTGTTGTTTTTGGTTCTTCTTCATTCCACAAAAGGCTGTAACGCGCTTTTCCTGCTATGGCTCTGTTCAAAGTGACGTATATTTTTGTAATTGTCTTATTTATGGTGAAGTAGAGTGTAGAGTGCTTTTGAACAACAGCTCATGCAGCGTGTGTGTGTGTGTGCGTGTGTGTGATTTCAAGGATGTTTGAGAAACAGTCCAACTCCCCCCACTACAGATAAAATAATACTCTACATGTTAATATGTAAAAAGGAGGCTGAAATTAAATGGTTAAAGACATTTTTCGATCAACTGTAAATAGCTCAGCTCTGTGTTCATATGTTACGTTATGCACATGTTATAGAGTATTTGTTACCCTGCTGTAGTCTATAATGTTTGCATATCTAATGTATGCCTGCAGATCTGTAACAGAGGAATAGGTACTGTATGTCCCAGTGCATTTCTATGTGCAGGTAATTCGCTCCTTTTGATATTCTTGAATGTAATCTGTCCAGAGCTGAAGATACTGTATGTGAATAAAAACACGAGAAAAATGTTTCACAAGTCTTACATTTATTTAGTTTCTGGATGCAGTAACATACTTGGATACTGACGACTTGGTCACATAAGCAGGTGGAGTCGTGTGCTTAATGACAACAACCACCCTCTGTGGAGAGGCCGCTGTGGGAGCTGATGGGTGGGGCGCAGAGCATTGTTTTCACTATCAAAATGTGGATTTGACCTAGCAGTACGATACCCTACTTGTATGGAACTGCAGCACACATTTGTCCCTCTTGTGTGCTGGTATAAGCCTGCGTCACACAAGATTATTATACAGTGAGATAATAGGTGTGGAAAAAGCAAAGATTTTAGTTAACCAAAACAGAAATAACTAGACTTTTATGGGGGGGAGTGTTCACTGGGACAGTGTGCATGAGTGTGAGTCAACTGCCTTCATTTAGTGTTTGTGTTGAGAGTCATGACAATATAAAATCAAACAAATCTGTAAAAAGGCCTCCAGAACCTTTCAGAATGAGCTGATTGTTTTATATTAAGTTTAGTACATTTAATGACCCATGCAAAATTTTACCTTTCTTCTGGGATTTCCTTCTGAACTACCAGCCCTTGAATTATATAGGCATTGCTATAAGTGTTCTGCTTTTCAAGTTGCCTTATGTCTTCTAGCATATTTGAGCTGTCCTAATTTTTCAAATACAAAAGATATCCACATGAAATTTCCAGGGCTGAAAGACACATTTACTGAAAAACAGCAACCAAACCAGTTTTACACGTTCCCCATGTGTCACGATCTCATTTTTGTTCTATGGGGAAACTTGAGCACCAGTATCATGGGATATATGACAGCTTCAATAGCAAAACTGGACCACTTTAATGTCTAGGATGTTTTCTCTGTTTTCTGTTAATTCACTGGAAAAGTTCAAAAAGTATATATTGGGTAAACTTACAGGGGTTATATCACCATGTGTGGTCGATGACGGTTAAAACAAGGTTTAGCATATTATAAAGGTCTGATTTCTATCTATATTTTAATACTGGGATCATATTCTAGCCATGATTTGTTTCTAATATAGTCCAATTTTGCATGAATTAAATCCAAAACCTGAAATTCTATTTATTCAGACAATTAAAACCATGTTAATGTTGAATAAGTGAGCTTTAAACATATATTCAGCCATCAATCATCTCTTTAGCTTCTCTAGAATAAAAAATAAATGAATAAATAAATAAATAAATGCTGATGTTTAATAAAATATTCGTTCTAGATTTTCTTGAAATTCCATATTATTAACTAAAAACTCAGAGGTCTCCTGAAGGTATTTTCAAACTCTTTGCATAATATATAACATAAAATCATAAATGTTGCACTTGCATAGGTGTACAAGGTCAAACTGTGAAGGATAATATAACATTAAAAATTTGACACATCCACCAACCTGTTTGAAAATCAGTGAACTTGTCTGTAATTATGATTACAACTAAAAAAAAAAAATGTATAAAGGTAAATTTAACTTCTTGTATCTTGAAATAAAATCTTAACCTGTTTAAAATTAGGGGTAAGGTTTAGGTTTATTTTTAACTCCTTTATGTGCACGTTTCACCTAGTGCACACAGCACATACAAGTGGAAATGTTATAACTGATGTACTCAAGAGCTAAGATGCATGTGTAAAGGAACTGATCTGAAAGCTAACACCTTCTAGTTTTAGAAACCATGTTTGTTTAGCATGCAGCTAAAATGCACCCTCACCCACATAGAGCTCTGCCTGTGACCTAATGAATGATAAAGCTACAGTAGCTCAACCTATGACATGGAAAAAACATGTGCTTATGTTTCCAAATATCTACAGTTGTGGTAAGAAATTTTTATGCACGCATGAATGTCATGGTAATTTTAAGCGTTGAGTGATTTCTTTGAACTGCTCTTTTTACAGAATGGAATGACTGTACGCCATACACCTTTAATGATTCTAAAAGCAAAAATTGGGTTCATAAGTTTGAATCGACTCTCCTCCGCTTATCCAGTTCAGGGTCAACAACCTTCAGGCATACTTCCAGCTGTATATTTGACCGCTCTTCTTTGCAGAGTTGGTGGAATTGGTTGGCTTCCTGGTACACCCCCGGCTTAAGCATAAATTTTCAATAGGGTTGAGGATCAGGGCTTTGCAAAATCCCTACCAGAAGCATACTATTAACTTGCTTCATCCAATTCCAAACCACTTTTGATATGTGTTTGGGATCATTGTTGGAACACAATTGTGTTTGACATTTGAACCATCTAAGCTGCTGATTTGACCTGAAGTTAAAAAAATGTAATCTTCCAAACACTGTGGCCAAATAGCTCAATCTTTGTGTCTGACCATAAAACTTTTGTCCAGAAGCCATTTGGCTTGTCCAAGTAGGCAGCTGAAATTTCACTCACGCATGTCAATTTTGGAACAGGAGCTTTTTTATTGGTCAGCACCCTCTCAGTGCATGGTAGTATATGGTCGTTTCACTGTGGACACTGACACTGGTGTTCCAGTGAGTGTTGAAAAATAAATAACTTTTATGCTACCAAAGAGGAAACTGACTGTTATAGTCAGTCGTGATCACTAGTAGGAAGTGAATAGAAGCTTCAGCACCTTATTAAAATATTTAAATCAGTATATGTATATATTTGAGCTTGTATTTGATGCTGTGTAGATTAGAGAAAATCCAAAATAAATTCAACCTTGTTATCTAAATTGGGGTTTTTAAAGGCATTAAATATGCATGCTGTATAATCATTCCAACCTGGAAAAAGAACAATTCAAAGAAATAATTAAAACCTCAAAATTACCATGACATCATGCTCATGATGAGCGTATGCAAATACTGACCACAACTGAATGTTCTTTTCCGAGATGCTACAGGCTCAGCCTGTCCTAAAATGCAGAATGACAGCTGTAAGATACCATCGTGATACATCTGGAAAATTACTTCCACTGCTGACTTGTACAAATGACTTATAAATGTCTAATCACTTATAAGTCATCACTGATGATGCATGCCTGTGTTACTCCAGGTACTACTGGTGAAAACCAGACAGTACTACCTGGAGAGGATCAATGGCTTCCTGTGTTACAAAATATTGTGTCACAAAATCATGTCGTTCTTGTGAATATGTATTACAATATAACAGTTGCAGTGTCAAATCAAATCCTGACAGGTTGTCAGGTTTCAGGCAGGTGGTGCTGCATCCACCGGTCTGGGTAAGTGCCTGATGTCCTGGGGCTGCGCTTGAGGAACCGTTGAATCTTCTCCCCCGAGCTGTAGTGACAAATATCAGGAAACAAATACACCTCATCCACCCACAAAGGCCCCTGTTTAACTTGAGAGCACTTAACTGTTACAGACGTGAGCGATAAACAGTTGTATGACACTGCAGTCTTTCACCTCCACCCAGTAGTTTTAATATAACTACGCAAAACTATTTAACCTTCAAATGACTAAGTTGTATAATTGGAAAAAAATGTTTCATGTCATGAATTCTACTTCTACTTTTACATAACTTTTATAAGAACTGTTTTTTTTTAAACATTTGTTGTCATAAGTTTTGGTAGTGACAACTTTTTGATTGCTACAACTTTCAGATATTTCAGTGATCTCAATATTTGAAGAGTTTCAGGAGTTTTTCTGCCAAAGTAAATCACACGCCCACAAACATGATGTGTGCTTAGGTGTTGTTTGAAACAAACCTTGTATCAGGTCGATGGCTGAGTTTTAAATAATGAACAGGAAATAAACTGAGGCCCAGAGCTATGGAAGCTTGTTTCCACAAGTTAAAATATCTTTAATTTTTTTTGAAAGCCAGACCTAAGTTAAAATTTTGAGCTATTACCTCAAGATTTTGACTTACTGACTGAAACTTCTACACAAGTCAAAAATGTTAAGATAACCAAACTAGAATTTTGACTTATGGATATATTTATCTTTTTTCTTTTGTAAGCAGCAGAAACGACAACAAAATGCAATCTATTTGACTATTACCAAGTTATGCTACATTTCAGAGATAGTTTTCTTGCTTTTGTTTAGTTTCCACTGGTTTTTGCTGTTATAATAAGAAATCTTTTTATCAGAAAAGGGATTTAGAACAGGTATTACCACACAACCACAATACTTTGTTTGGCAGCTCACTGACAGTCATGCAGACATCTCAAGTCTCAGTAGACAAAGCCTCATCAGACTGAAACTACAGCAGACATTTCCTGTTTACTTTTATTTTATTTTAGTTATTGTTTCCGTTTTTTTATGCCTTGCAGCAAAAGTTTTGTTTTGTTTTTTTAATTTTTTTTTATTTCTGTTAACTAAAATTTTTCCACTCATAATTTTATTTTATTTTTTCTAGTTTGGTTTTAGTTAACCATGGCAACGTTGCTCGGTTACCCTGACCCTCTTTGATTTTACATAGAAAACCCATGAATGGCTCATATTTTCTGCTTAAGTGAAGGCAATCACTGACTGCAGGAACCTTAACTACAGCACTGAGTCCACTTACTATATAACTGATTACTCCCAACCCTGAGTCATTTCATTTTAAAGCTTAGAGAAGCAGCATGTGTTTGTTATTACTCAACCCTGAAGTACACTCAGATCCTTAATACTGACCCAGAAGAAGATATTTGGAGGTATTACATGTCTAATAGTGTGTTCCGGGTGCAGAAACAGTGTGCTATGTGTTTTACTTTATGCATAGCTTTGTATGTAACTGATTCAGAGGGCCTTGGAGGCCTGAAAACAGCCTCTTCTTGTCTTACAAAGATTCTCATTGTTCAGTCTTCCTCTCTGCTCACACAGACAGAATGTGCAAGTGTTGTTCCTCATTTCTGGCGCTTAAACACCCAGTTGCATTTAAATCTAACAAAGCACTGCGGAAAATGTGATACGCCGCGGGAGTCACATTTAGAAATATGAAGGCGTTGGGGGAAACAGTCTGGGAAAATATCTTTTTGCTCTTTGGTGGAGAGTTGGAGATAAGTTGGTCGCACTAAGACTGAAAACGCTGAAACAGCTAGCATG